GATGGAATAATAAAGGTTTCACAGTGTAACTTTCCAAAACTTGGGATCGCCGTTAAAATCCGCCAAAAGTTAAAATCTGCACTTCTGCGAAATTGGAAGGATTTAGAAATTCTAAGTTGGAAAATTATCAAAAGCCAGCAACATTCTCACATAGTTATGAACCTAGAAAGATGTCTAGACTCTACGCTAATGAGGATTCCCTCTCACCATGTTCTGTTTCATCTCCCAGTATGAATCGTTTTGTAATCCTATTCTACAAAAACTGTCTCTTAGCATATGACTTCCCCTGGCTGGCTGGGGAATTCTGGGAGTTGAAGTCCACACATCTGAAAGCTGCCAAGGTTGAGAAACACTGAGTTAAATTGTAAATCTACATTCTTAGAAAATATGAAACCAATCGTGCAGTGGAACTGTAGTCAAAATACATATGGATGACAATAGATGAAATTCGCCATTACATAAGTGATCTTCTCATTTTGACTTTCTCCTCGCCTTTCATTTGCACCCTGTCCAGGACTCCAAAATCTCCAGGGGTATTCTGAGGGAATATAAGGGGTTGCAGAGATAGGGCAAATCGCCCCTTTCTGTTCTATTGCTAAAAACCATTTTACCAGTGGAGGCATATCAATGGACTTAATCCAATAAGATCATTTTATGAATACTTTTCAGCATGATGCAATACACCTTATAAGTTAAACATGCAACCCCCAAACTCCCAGAGTCTTTACTGTTAACTAAGCTATTTATATCAGCAATATCAGCAAAATAATCCTCTTGAATTCAGACAAGCCAATTAGATTTTCCATGAACGCTAACTTTGAAGGGCTGAGAAAACAACGTTTATACATAGACTATCTCCTTTTATAGCATGTAGTCGACAGCAAAAATTCTGCAGGAAGCCAATGAGCCAGCGCAGTTTGAGTTTCACGTTTCGCTTCTTATGATGCCAGCTCCTATTTTAGTTCAGAGCATGGCTAAGCATCTCTGGAGATCTAAAAATCAAATAAGGCTTCAATTTATCCAAGTTGGATAAGAGTTAGGACTCCAACTCCCAGCCTTTCTTTGGTTTCCTTATCCTCAGCAACTAAGTCTGGAATGCTCTGTTGGATGTTCCAGCACAAATGTGGGGAAAACCAAAATAGCAATCAGTATTATAGCCCCGTTTGCCACAAACATATTGGTGGGCTTAAGCAGTAGTAGTAGCAGCAGAAGGCACTCAGGTATATACAAGAACTTTGGTTCTTGGTACAACTATGACACGATGTCGAATCAATAGAGATTCTTTTGTTTATTGGAATTTTGCTACCGTAGCTGGCTGAGAAGGCCAGATTGATAGCTTTGATTAGAGAAAATACATTGATCAATGTTACTGCTGATTGGAAACCCCTTTTGGCTTTTTGCGTGAAACAGAAAAAAATGAAATCATGTAAAGTGATTTGATTCAATTCAAAAATTAGTTATTTTTTTTAAAAAAAGGAATTTTGTTACTGTGTCCAAAAAATGAATATTATAAGCCTGTCGTGGACATATAATTTCGCCGGATTCCAGTAAAAGAGGTATGATTAGGGCAAAATCATACTGAGCTTTGAAAATGCCTTCTTCAATGACCAACTGATTTGTCCTCTAGAAGAAATTTATTTTTGCTAGAAGATTTTATTTGCCAGGAAGCTGAACGAAAAAAGTGAGAAACAAATACTTACATTTCCTATGTAATCACAATTTCATTGGGCTTGATGTAGCCCACTGACTTTATGACCACAATAACGACAGTATAGAACGGTAACTTATGCAACTGTTAATGTCTTAAATTACATACAAGTAATACACTATATTTCAAACCTCACTCTGAAGCCTCAGTAAATACAAGTAAATTAGCCAAGTGATTATGTTCAGATAATATATTTTAGATTGCAGAGACTTATTAAGGAAGCCATGTCTGATCTTCCATTAATTAACATTTAAGAACAATCAAAAGGAATTTAGCTTTAGAAATTGTACAGTCTGTGAAAGGTTGGGACGGGAATATTAAAATGTGCACATAAGCTCTTATGCATACAGAAAAATCACACATATTCCAATAAGAGACATATGGTATAATATTTTTGAGTCTTAGACATTCTCTTTTAGTAATAACCAGCTACATTCCTTGGCGATAAAGTGGTAATGGCTATATTATTTACCTACAGCTTCCTGTCCTCTTCACACAAAGCTTTTTGCTAAATTAAACAAACAAAACAAACAATTGCAAATGTACATTCTGCCAAGTTAATGTAACAAAGCTTTCAAATTTTATTCATCTCAGCAAAAACATGCATATCTAATGCACTGATTGGCAGTACGCATTCCAAGCAAAATCTCCACAGTATATCTATATTTTATCTTTATACCCAATAAACAATTAATCTGCATGATTTAAAATATCCCCCTATCTTTGGACCAGATGGAAAGAATTGAAGACTGTTCCACTCGGACACAACCTAAATCTTTGGAAATAGGCTATATGTTTAATTCAGTATAAAGCTGCAGAAGTCAGTTTAATATTTGATATGGAAATTCTTATTTCCTTAGATACTCCATCCTGGTACAGGGTCTTTGCAACATACAACAACAACAATAATAATAATACAACTATTCTGCAAAGTATCCTCCTTTCTGCAGTGATAAATCTGATCCTGAGGATACCTATTCACACATACACCTTCCTTATAGAAAACTAGTACATCAGAAGAAAAGCTAGGCTAAAACTCTTCCTCCTGATATTATATGGGAGGAGAAGATGCGTGTGGGTATATGTGTATTAATTCTACCTCGTACAATCAAAGTACAATTTCATCCTCTCAGTCCAACATACGAACTGCCAACCAGTAGCAGCCATAATTAGGAAAGTCAGAGGTTATTATGGCCACCAATTTAGATGGCTATTGAAGGGAACTAACCATATTCGTAGAGCAACTTAGTCCAGATTCAGCAGCCTGTTGGGTTGCTATATATTTTGTAGAGATAGCCTGCTTCTGCATAGCAGTCACTGCAGAACAGCCCCTTAAGAGAGCATATCAAGTATGTTGGTTTCTCATGTTCTTCTTCTGTCCTTACATGTTCTCTTATGGTTTCTAGATCTAGACACATGTGGGTCAGCAGTACCCCTCTGAGATGAGGCTGGGGAGTTTCTAAGTTCCATCGGGGGGATTAACGGTTTCCAAAATTATCTCAGTCTCACACTGAAAGGGAAGCAAAACTGGCATGTTAAGAATTCTGGAACTGCTTCTGTGAGTGCTTTGAGAGGATGGAAGCACCTCTTTCTCTAATAGGAGCCCGCCATAAGTCTCTTCATTTCCTTGAATGCTCCCTATGGAGGGGATTGGCTCATTCCAAGCAACAATGGCGTGTGCGGGTAATGACACTGGGGAATCTTCCGCTTTTTTGTGAGGGTAGGAGGCCAACTCGTTGCTCAGATGGACTCTCTTGGTGGCAGAATGGTTGGGAACCCAACAAGGAAGGTGGTGGCCACCTAACAGGTTCCTGAATGCCCGCTGGAAGTCTACATTGAAAGCATAGATCACTGGGTTGATAGTGGAGTTGGCCCAGCCAAACCACATGAAAATATTGAAGGTGGATTGGCTGATGCAGGTCACCTGCTCAAGGCTTCTGTCCTTGGGCCTTGAGTCACAAAAGGGCAATAGGCAGTTGAGCAGGAAGAATGGCAGCCAGCAGCAGACAAAAACTCCTAAGATGATGGCCAGTGTCTGAAGCAACTTGGTTTCCTTGCACAGTGAGCTGCGCAAAGAAGAAACCGGCTCCTTCCCCTTGACCAAGCACAGGCCACCTGCTCTTTCCAAGGAGGAGATGCGACGGATCTGAGCCTGAGCAATGCGAAATATCTGTGCGTATGTCCCAATCATGATGGAGACGGGAATATAGAAGCTGATCAAGGAGGAGGTAATGGCATAAGTACGGTTGAGACGAGTGTCGCAGTGATGGGGAAGCAGGCCAGGGGTCTCCTCAGCTCTGTGCCAGTGGAGGTGGACAGGGATGAAAGAAATGAGGACAGAGAGGGTCCAAGCCAGAGCAATCATCGCGAAGGCCAGGGACTGAGTCATCCGCCGCTCGTAGCAGAAGGGGTTGGCAATGGCCCAGTAGCGATCCAGGCTGATGATGCAGAGGTGGAGGATGGAGGCAGTGGAGCACATGATGTCAAAGGCCACCCACGTGTCGCAGAAGTGGCTGCCAAAGAGCCACACCCCGCCTGCCACCTCAGTGACCGCTTTCCAGGGCATGACCAGCAACCCCACGCAAAGGTCAGACAAGGCCAGCGAGAGCACAAACCAGTTGGTGGCTCTGGCCCGCAGGTGGTGGAACCGGAGGACAGCCAGGCACACCAGGCTGTTGCCTACCACGGTGCTCAGCACCAGCAGCGACAGCAGGCACCCTGCCAACACCTTCAAGCCACTGAAAGGGTCCTGGGGCCCCAAGGCCTCCTCGCTGTGGTTGGAGGCGTTCTCCATCAGGGAGCAGGAAGGGCCTCCTGCTAACTCCTTTTCCGAGCTTCGGAAGCCAGAGCCCTGCGGCGCTTCTGCTTCTCAAAAACTTTCTGTCTCGGAGCCGGAATCTGGCAGCGCTTGCGGGGGCCTGGGCAGCGCGTGCCCGTCAGGAGCTCCGCAGCGCCAGCAGCACCTCCGGGGATCGCGGGTCTCCTCGCTTAGATTCAACTGCAAAACTTTCCGGCGTCCCTCGCCGCCTTCCTGGATGCGAGCAAGTCGGCGAGCGCGGACCGGGAGCTCCTCCCGTGCTGGATGGACGGGCTTTGGGGAGACGCTCGGCTCCTTCCCGCCGAAGAGGTCGGTGAAGCGGCAGCCGCTGTGATGCCCCGAAATCCGGGCGCTCGGGCGCTCCCCAGACACGGTGGCGAGCAGGGGCGGTGAGACGAGGAAGGAGCCAGTCCCGCGGGTGATGTAGAAACGAACCAGGTTAGTTCTTTGCTGCGTCTCGTTTGGAAGCATGATCATTTAGCGAGCACCGGGAGATTCCTTCCTCCCTCTCTTCCTTCCCTTCGCTACGTCTGACTGCCAGTCCAAATTGCCGGGGCAAAAACTCTCAGGGCTCCTTCTGAGTTCCTTCCTACCCTGTCTGCCAGCCTCAGACCGGGCTGTTCACTGCAACATGGCAGGCAGGCAGGCAGGCAGAAATTCTACACGTGCAGCTTTCTCTGATAGGGAGGAACAGGGCGCAAGGTTTCTGTCTAATGCGCAATAACCTTGCAAATTTAAAAAAAACAAACAAAAACCTACCGGACTGAAAAGTCAAGGGATGCTGAATCCCAAAAGGGCCATCAGAGTTTCTGCATGGTGAGGAAGGGGCAAACAGTTCACAGGCACTTATCCAGTCGATCTGTGCCTGACAATATGCAAAGCCAGCAATTCCCTTTTAATGGATGTGAATGGCAGTGACAGGAGTTTAATGTGTTGTTGCCTGCTTTGATTGTCAGGAATGAGATAGGCTACAAATCTCATGAAGGAACGAAAGCTAATCAGTCTGTCTCTCCCTCTCTTGCACACAAACATCCAGTTTATCGGTGCGTTCTTATCACAGCACTGAAATCACGCTGAGGGTTTTAATCTGTACAATTGTGGCTTTTGAATCAAGGGACACTAGTTAACCTCATTAAAAAGGTTTCCTGGATTGTGGTTAGCCATCCTGCTGAGCTGTTTGTTCATTTTTTGACTTGGAGACTTTCTCTGTTGCTTCCATCCATCAGTTAGAAGAAGAAAATTATACCAGCATGAAATTTGCCTTCCTGGTTGCCCCTCTCTATCCTGATTTTGTTACTCCCAGTCACTGCAGGTTAATGGGTGGCAAAGCTAAACACATTTTACATTCCTTCTGGTTGCCCTTAGATGGGGGTGAAATAAGAGAGAAATTGCTCCTTCAAGACCAGCATAGCTAAGGGTCTCACTCATGGGTTGGAAATGAGATGAAGGCAACATCAGAGGGTATGCAGAAGAAGGAGGCTCGCAGGCCAAAGCTCTGCCAGGGTTAGTGGGATGATCAACAAGTCCTATGCGAGGACTTAGAACACTTGGCCATATGGCTTGTTCAAAAAGCAATAGCTTAACATCATGTGCATCTTCTTTACCAGGGCTTGATTACCATGGCTCACTTTAACCTTGGTTTATTGAGCTGTGGTTGGCTGTGCTAAGCCACAAGTCATTGCTTTTTTATATAAATGTTGTATTGCTTTTTAATTAATAACAAAAAAGGAAAAAACACAAAATAATAGTAATACACGAGAAGAAGGAAGAAAACATTAAAAGGTGGTATTGCAAAAAAAGTGACAAAAATACAAGAGCAAAAAAAATAAAAATAAAAACTTAGTGTAGTATACCATTATACAGTAAATAGTTACACATCTCTATATATTTATCTAATGCAAATATTATTCAAATGCATATATATTTCCAATACATTTATATA